AATACTGGTGACCGCGTTGGTTGAGACGATGATGGGTGGGGCAAGAGAGTGAGAGAGACAGAAAGATGTCGAAGGAAGAAGGGAAGTAGGAAGAATAGAGATCAGAGTTAGTTTTGGGAGTAAAATAAGCAAAAAAAATGTTGGATTTCTTTACTGTTTGGTTTGCTGTAAAGGATGATAGGATTTACTCGCTATAGTAGCTACTTACCTTACTGGTATATGAAGAAGTCTGTTGGTATAGATGTCATATGAGATGTGAAAGCAATTTTCAAATAAAAGACTACTAGTTGACTAAGAAGTAGAGTCGACTGTAACATCCGACCAGAGAAGTCAGTCAATGCTGGGGAAGTCGCTTTTTTATTTACTGGCACTGGGGTTCCAGATCATTCAGATTCAAGGACTCATCAAGTTGATCCATTAGCAGCATCCATAGACAAAAATCCTCTTTTTAAAGCTTTGAGCAAAAGAGACGCCCACATATTTTACAACAGAGGGGGGAAGTAGGAGGTGAGAACTCTTGAATAGCAGTAGCCGTCTACCTAATATCCTCTTTTTAGGCCCCTATTGATATACTATCCATATAGTGTACCTTTGAGGGGTCGTCCCCTTCATTTATGCCGACCCCGACCCAGGCTGGATTTTTGGGAAGTTTGTTCCCATCGTGCTCATGGCTTTACTGGCCTACCGGTGGGAGTGGCCAGTGGGAATTCTCTCGTTCCCTTGTCAAAGATTTGGTTGGATGCGAGATCTACTCCACGAGAAGCGGTACATACGTAGATGATATCATCATGACCTCTCTTTTCGTACCGCTATGCTTAACGCCACTTTGCCAACTAGCGTTACCTGCCTGTTGAGTATGCCTTTGAAGCACTATGTTCCTTGGGAGAGGGTGCTTCAATTAAGATTCAAGCTCCTGACAAGAAGGATGGTAAGAAGGGTGGGAAGAGGGATCCTAGTGGCTAAATGCCCTCCTTAGATGTGAGTCCCATATGTTTATTGGTCACTTGATGACGACTGCATTGATCCCTCTTGACAGTTTGCTTCTGTTAGAGCTATTGTGTCACTTTCATTCCATACTTTCTCTGTCTATACCGAACACGGTAACTAACCTATTGATTAACGGTGTTTATGAAGTGGCTCCGAGTGACAACTAGACTTGCACACTCCTTACTTAGGGTTGAGTCGAGGCAATGAAAAAAGTATCCTTCATTTTCATGTGAGGGATGACTCGCTCTTTTATTCGGACAATCTTTGTATTCCAGTCGGTGTACGGGATCAGAACGGGAGCTTGTGAATGGTCCTGGTGAGGGGGTGTAGGGGCAAAAATTGTCTAACCAATCGCCTCCCTTTGGTCGGACCTAAAATTCAGACCCAATCTCCGATCCATCAATAAATCACAGACCAGACCCCGTGGCCCTGAAGCCAACCTTTCTTCTTGATTTCAAAAGTAAAAGCACTCTTTTCGATCTTGTACGAAGACACACCAAACGCAACCAAAAAAACCGAGAAAACTAAACTTGGTAGATTTTAGTTATGATTCCTCTTGTCGACTCTTCACTCTTGGGTTTAGCTGAAGCTCTTGTTCGAATATTCGCAGTTCTTGCCATTGAAGGCATAACTGGTCTTAGCTTTGACTTGGCAGTAGGAAAAGTTTAAGGGTTAATAGCATTTTGTACTCTTTTATTTTTACAAATTAACAAATGTACCCCTTTACTAATTTTTTTGCACGAACATACCCTTCTAATATTAAAATGTAACAAACTTATTCTTATGTCTAATTATCTTTTAAGTGGTCATTAAATGAGCTAAAAAAGATCAAATTGCTCTTCATTTTGCTGTGAATCTTGTTTTAATTTTTGGCTTATCCAAAAACAATTAATAATTAAAAAAAATCTAAACTGATCTCCTCTTTTCACTTGACCCCCTGCTATCACTTCTCTCCCAGTGTCCCTTCCTGCTGTGACTGCGGTTTCCCCCATGACATACCCACCACGATTACTTCTTCAGCCAACCCATGTTTTTCCCCTTCCAACTCGAGATTCTGCTTTGACCGATGTCTGCCTTCCCTATCCTCCTCCAAACTTGAATTATCCCACCACCTCCCTTGGAGAATCCTCAACGTATTTAATATCTACTCCTCCATCGACAACTTCGTCGGAACCATTTATGGCCATCGGAAACCATTTATTCTTGATCAAAGGAGGGGGGAAGCTCCTGGCTTATGCGTCTGAAGGCGAGAATTGCCCCTTCCAGTCGTGGAAATCCCCCGTTGACCCAAAATATGGTACTTTTTTAGTTGATTAGATAGTAGTTTGAAGCGAAATAATAGTAAGCCTCCTAATATTTCCTTGGAATAAAACTTAGTCACTTTACTACATCCCTAGCTTAGTTATACTTGGCTTTGTTAGGATTGACTAGAGTGCGCTTCGACTTTAGAAATTTAAAGGTCAATCAAGATGCGATCAAGTTTTTTGCGGCGTTGTCGGTGTCTTATGATAACTAGTTGAAAGAGTTAGGTTGTTAGTTTAGTCTTACTTATTTCTTTATAGGCAAAATTCACTTATGTAGCCATAACTATCGACTTTGTGACAATAATAGCCAATTTATAAGAAATATACAAAATGTCAGATTTTAGAAACATGTTTGACAAATTTAGCCACTTCCATTAAAACTTTAACGTCGTTAGAGATTCTGTCGGTTACATTAACAAGACGTTGACGAGGATACCACTGTGACGCCACGTGGACTTTGTGACATAATACACATGTATAGCCATAACTGTTGACTTTGTGACAATAATAGCCAATTTCTCACTAATACACAGAATGTCCAATTCCGTCCAAAACTTTAACGGAACTAGATACCCATACCCCGCTTCATGCTACTGCGGGTCGGGTAATATCCGTCCCATCGCGGGTCAGGGAGGGTTCAAATTGCCATCACTATGATGGTGCAAGAAGAAGGTGCAATCCACCCAAGGATCAAGGAGAAGGTGCAATCCAAGGAGAAGAAGATGATTTCCACCACTCCTCCTCTTCTTAGTTTGTATTTTCTTCCTCTCTATATGATTTAAATCCCTAAGGTTGTTTAGAAAAGATTAACCCTAGTTTATAGATTGTGTATGGGTCATGCGTATGAATGATTTTGAGCCTATCATTTATGTCTATTTGGTGTTTGTGCATAAATCTCTTACTTGATTGTGATTGATTTGTTCTTAACCTAGGCGATAGTTCAATCCCCTTAGGTCAAGAGTGTTCTAGACACCAATTAGTGTGTGATTGTCTATATCTCATTTGCCTTAGTGGCAACCTAGATAATAGAGGATTATCATAGAAATGGGTTTATGGTGTATTTGAGTTCAACTAGTGTGCTTAGTGCTTCTAATTAGGGTTAGATGTGTGTGAATGCCTCTTACCTTAATTAGTTTACCTTGAGGGCTAGCGAGAGGTCGAGGTGACCATCCCCTTCTGGTTAGATTCTCACCTAGTGGATGCTTGTAGGTTAGGTGCGTGACCATCGACCTACCTTACTTGTGTGCAGACGGATTTAAGTCGTTTAGAGGAGGTAGAACCTATCCCTAGTTAGGTAACCCTATTGAGGAGACATTGGACCGACTATCCTAGCTAGAAAAGGGATCGATTGCATGACCATTGGTCGATCCCCACCTTCGTGACCTCCGCACCTCGAGACACCATTAGACTATCACCTGTAGCAACCTATAGCTAAAGGGAGTCAACCCTAGGCAACCCTCTGATCTCTAGCGGTCTCCCAATCACTTGATTGGTTGTGTTTATGTAGTTAGGTTAGGTCAGTTCTACCCCCAACCTTCTGAGTAAATTAGATAGTAGTTCAGAGCGAAGTAATAGTAAGTCTAAGGTACATCCATAGCTTAGTTATACTTGGCTTTGTTAGGATTGACTAGATTGCGCTTTGACTTTAGAAATTTAAAACTCGATTAGTCGGTTAGCGGTTAACCACTAAGCAAAATACTGCTAACCGAAATCGAACCAATAAGAAATTATCAGTTGTTGATTAACCACTAAGCCTATTTATCGGTTCGGCTATCAATTAAAACTGATAACCGACTAACCGTTTACCACCACTAGGATTAGGGATTGATTTGGAGTTGGGTTGTGTTGGCTGGAGAAGCAGATCCAGATAGGATGGCTGGGTATGTAAATGGAAGTTGGGCCTCCATAATGGTGTTGGGTTTCCTCTATTCGGAAGCTCAGTTCGGAACATCAGACATCCGTTTGGTTTGTTCCAAATTGAATTTCGAACTAGTCTCTTCTCCTTCCCCATTCCAGGCTGAATACTGAGAATTTTGGTTTCGGCCTGATTCAATTTGGTTCGAAAAGAGTCAATTTCAGTTTTCCAAACTGGATGCCCACCCCTAACCGAAACAACTGCAAATCCTAAAAAATATGCACTTTGGGTTCTTCAAAAGTCTTAACTAGTCCACTATATCTAAAAAACTTCTCTATTGAGATTTCTTAGTGCTTGCTTTACTACTTTCAATCTATAGTGAAATAGGGAAGTACCCTCAACTCAAGTCAACCAAGCTTGTTGAACGATAGCCATGAACTTCGGTCTATGTAAAACGAATGAGATACGGTCTATTGAACATTCATATGAAATTTAAAAAGTGCTTTAATTGTCGTTTAAAAACTCACACCGACCTCCAAACACCGCCCAATTGTCCCCCCAACTTCTACATTCCTTCCTTAGTCCTTACATCTCTACAAACCACAATGATCACCATTAGATCACATTTTCTCAAATCTCAACCATCCATACTTAATTTTGTAGATAATATAAGTCTTTTGTATTATAATAAGTTTATAACCTAATTTTTTTTAGCACCAATATGTATAGAACAAAGTTTTGAAACCCCGAATAAATTATTAATTAACATATTATAAATGGAAATTTTGACCTTTTTGGGTAAAACGTTAGCTTTGAATAAGTTGGCAAAAAGACACCATAGAAATTCATACTCGTCCATGGATCACAAATTGAGAGTCAGCGTGTTGAAGTCGGAGAATGGAAAAATGGGGATCGCGATATGTGATGGTTTCGTTCTTGTAGTTTCGGCCGGCGTCAGTGATCTTCCTCTTCCTCACCTTCCTCTGTGAAAAAGGCTTTTGAAATTAGAGAAAATCAAACAAACCGAAGGGCTCCTTCCTTTGCTACAACGAAATACGGAAACAGCTATGGCGTATGCACAACAACAATAATTAATGAGTTAGATACTTAATCGGTGATGGACGCTATTCATTCTATCTCGCTGATCCACAATCTTCACTGCTAGATCTCGAAACCCCCTGATTCGGTTCCGCCGCTGATCGCCATCGCTGAAAGGTGCCGTAGCTTCCCTCTTTGCTTCTTCTTGTCCTCATTTCTTCCTCCTTCGCCGACGACTCTTCTGATCCAGGGAAAATGTGCTCTAGTTACGCGCAATTTTGAATTCTCTCTTGAACTAGTTGCTCAAAAGCCTCCTCGATTTCTCTTTAGCCATTGGGCTGTTCTATTCTGTTGCTACATGACGCAGTGCTGGAGTAGTTTCTTGATTCATTTTCAGCTACAAATTTCCAGCTTTTAGTGTTTCAATTGAAGCTGTATATTGTATAGTGGCGTGTATGGAAGCAACTGTGAGGGAAATGTTTGACGATTGAGCTCTAAAGCTATGGTATTTTGCAGGACGAGACTTCAGTGATTGTCGGTGGTCATAATGCAGCACGCTCCAGCAACGATTGAGGAGCAATTGATTCTCAAGGCAATAAAGGAAGAGAGCCCATGGGAAAATCTTCCCAAACGGCTTCAGGCTACTCTTACTTCGAAAGAGGAATGGCATAGAAGGTTAGAATGGCTTCGTTTCTTTGCTTGTTCCTTGAGTTGTAAGAAAGTACTGCTCTTAGTAACTAGTCTTCTGGAATCCTCCTGCTTTGATCCCCTGACTTGTTTCAATTTGGTCCATTATGCAGTTTCCAGCTTATTTTTTAGTAGAAATTCCGTGTACGCTTAATTGGGCGTAGAAGTTTAGAATGACTTCGTTTCTTTGCTTGTTCCTTGACTTATAAGAAAATACTGCTCTTAGTTACTAGTCTTCAGGATACTTGATACTGCTTTGATCCCCTGTCTTGTCTCAATTTGGTTCATTATGCAATTTACATGTTATTTTTAGTAGAAATTCCGTGTACTCTTAATTGTAGCGACCTACTACGACCCCTTAAACCCTCTTTTCTCGTTCTGTGACCTTGTTTACTTCATTGTATGTAGTTTCATTTTGTTTTTTAACCATCTTTTGCTCGGATCACAACTGCTGGCAGGATAGTAGAGCATTGCATCAAGAAACGACTCCAATGGAATGCCTCTTTTGCTCGGAAAGTATTCAAAGAAGGTGAATATTATGAAGAGATGATGCGTTACTTGCGAAGGAATCTGGCGGTGCGTGTCATAGAGCAAGTCCTGCCAGCTGTTATTACTGTCATTAACACAAATGCTTTCACAAATGCTTAGAACATATTTAAGCAACACAGCTTTATCATGTAGGAACGGTCGAAAAATATCCATTATGAAACTGTCATATGACATAACTCAGTATCTTCTTCAGTTTGGTGATTGTGTGCGTCTCTGTGTTACTTGCAGCTCTTTCCCTATCACCTTGCAGATTATGTTTGTCGAGTGATGAGGATATCACCCTTCAGATATTACTGTAATATGATCTTCGAGGTTATGAAGACAGGTAATAGTTCATTCTCTATCAGATTATCAAAGGACTATAAGCTCTTCAAGTTTTCTTTTTCGGTTTTTGTTGTGTTTCGCATTATGGGCTCCCACATGCAGCATAACAGTATATGCTGTTAAATCGTATTCCCATTATTGACCAGTTCTTTTTGCCGTCATTCAAAAGCATTTGGGCTTGTTTGCTGTCTTGATCATGCTGTTTGTCATATCAATGGAGCTGTTCTGACAAATATTATTGAATATGCGGGTCTTCTACATAATGACATTGCATTTGAGTGTTGTATTTGATGTGAAAATGTAGATATATATTAATCTTTCTTGTGAGATCTGTAGCATATGATACGAGGAGATCTTTTTTGACCTACTAGTTTCACTATGAAATCTATAGGCCAAGACGTGGAGTTCTGTTTTCGCAATTTGATATTGTAAGAAAATCATTCTGAGTTCTGTTTGAGTAGGAGATCCAAAAAATTCTGTCCTGGACATGCTTGCTCAGATACAAGGTGGCAAATGGAGATGAAATTAGAAAATGTGGTCTTAGCAGCATTGAAGTCAAAATATGATAGTTTATTTTCGTGATAAATTGGTTTTTATCATACAATCTTGTGGAGATGAAATGGACATACTAATCCATTAAATGGTCGGAAGTACCCAAGATTGAACTCATTTCACATATGAATATGATGAGAGCTATCTATTGAGTGCTATGAGTAACACGGTGTGTTTCATGTCGATGATCAAGAATAGCTCACTGAATCTGGTAAAACTATGATTAGAGATTGCTGAAAAGAGATATGAGTTCAATCTTAACTCGCAAGTAATACACGTGATAGCTGAAATGAATGTGACTTTTTACCGTTGACACAAATCATAACTCGCAAGTAATAGGTGGAGAGTAGGATCATTTAAAGAGGAAGGAGAAAGTCAAAATGAGGTTGGGTTTTGGGCTCCTTCTGCTCCTCCTCCGCCCAGGGGAAGTTGTTTTCCTTGTATATCAGTTGTACCGGTATTGACCTCTGAGGAACAGAGAAGAAAAAAGAAGAGAGAGAAGGGGGGGGGGGGGGGGGGGGGAGGTGCTATTTGGAATAGTGGTTTGGTAGTTTCCATGTAGGTGGTTTCATAATTGGTTAGGTTGTTTGTGTTTGTTAGCTATTTTATATTGCTCATAACTACTCCCGGTCTGAATCAATCTATACTTCTGTTCGACTTCATGTATTCCTTGCTTTCCACAGAACAACCATATGACAGCATCCCAAACTTCAGTGCTGCAGATGCATTGCGACTTACAGGAATTGGGAGAAATGAGTTCATTGATATTATGAACAAATGCAGATCCAAGGTATCATTCACGAACTTCATCTAGGGAGGATGATCACACCTAAACAATTCATTTATGATTTTGGTCCAAGTTTTTGTTCATCTGTGGATGTGTATAGTAGTTCTTGTTAGTTAATGGTCTTCCTTGTTCTACAGAGTGACTTTAATGACCCAGGTTCACTTGTTTCAAGGAAACTGACTGAATTTGTGAGAATGGCTTTAGATGCAAAAATTTGATGCATAAACTTTGCTGGAACCAAAATGCTTAACTGTATAGTTGGTTTATATTTGATTAAACTAGTCTGATCTCCCATTACTTGGTTAATGACTCAGAAAATCATGTGGAAGCTTAACAAATCAATTGCAAAAGAACTTTTACCTGCACAGCCTGCAGACTTTGCAATTGAACCATGGTGGGGTGTTTGTCTTGTCAACTTCACACTGGAAGAGTTTAAGGTGAACTCCCATCTCTCCTTGTGCGTGTTTTCTTTCTCCACAGGCTTAACCAGTAACCAGCCTTGGATACCCTTATGTTTCTTGCCCCATAGGATGAGTGACGATTTGTGAATGAGGGTTGCCTGACTAAATGTGACAATTTATCATCTTTGTTTCTTGTTTGTCTTCTTGTGCATCTAGAAACTCTCTGAAGAAGAGACTGCAACCATAGACAAGATCTGCAAGGAGGAAGCTAATGCATATATCCTGTTTGATCCTGAGATCATAAAGGGCATGTATCAGAGGGGGTTGATCTACTTTGATGTGCCTGTATATCCAGATGACCGTTTTAAAGGCAATTCTTTCTTTTCCTGTCCTTTTCAATTTGTTTCTGTTAAATCTGTCCTTGAAGAAATAGCTGGTTCACTTTCCAATGCAGTCAAAGGTGCGATTCTATGTAGAAGCGTTTTGGTGACCTAGAAGCGTAAAAGCATAAACTTTTAAGTTTTAAAGCGCAGTTTTGACTACATTAGTTAGAATAAGCCCGATTATACGCAGAAGCGTAAGCTTTTAAGCGTGATTTTGAGTACATTTTCACTTTCAATTATCTAAATGTGGAAGGTAGGAAACCATAACTGCGCTCAATAAATGTTATGTCATAAACATCATCCTGTTTTATATGCTACAATCCAATACTTACTGTCTGAATGCCTCAGTTTCCAGGCTTGAAGGCTTTGTTTCCAACAGAGAGCAGTCCTATGAAGATCCCATTGAAGAGTAAGTAGCTGGATCAATTTGATCCGTTTTTCGTTTGCCATTGCTGTCTACTTTCACTGGAAGTAAGGCGTTAACTCTGAGAATTTTATTGTCCAGGTTATTGTATGCAGTATTCGTTGTTTCAAGTGAGAATGCTACTGTTTCTGAACTGGCAGCCACATTACAGGCTGATCTTTCTAAGCTACAAGCTGCTGCGTCTTTTGCTTGTCGATTGGGATGGGCACAGAAATTGATTGATCCAGGATCCCTTCTTCAAGATGCTAACATGCCTGTCTCTCCAAGAGCCAGTGTCACTGATGAAGACGATGCTGCTCGTGCTAGTATAAGCTCAACGAGGTCAACTGATGGTGATGGTCTGCAAGACCCTCTGGCATCTGAACACCTTGGGCACCGTGTGAGCCACACTCGGGTTGCATTTATCGTCGATGCCAATATAACTTCCTACCTTATGATGGGATCAGTTTCCCCTGGTTAGTTTGTTTTCTTTTGCCTGATTAATGTATTTTTCATTTTGAAATATGATCAGTGCATAAAAAGGTGAGATCTTATGCAAGCGGTTCTGTACAGAGGATTTTAGCTAACGTGATAACTTTTTAAAGTGTGCTTGGGGATCCTCCCTGATCAACCTGATGTGTTTCATCATATTATTCTTTTCTCGCTTTCCCAGACTCACTTATGTGAAGGTTCCCTGTTTGGCAGGCCTAATAGGAATTAAAATTTAATCATTGATTGGACAGTTAATGAGGTATATTGCTCATCATTCTCCACATGAAGATTGACTGCCCATGTTCTAGTCTTTCTTGGTTTGCATGTCTGATAGTGTTATCAATTAAGTAAGAACTTAATCCCCCTGCTTTAGAGATTATAATGTGGAAAGGAGAGAAACGGGCAGAATGGCTGGCAGATTTGAGTTATGCTGTGATAGGACTTTGATTGACCATGGCACATAATCTAAAAATTCAAGCTCAAGCGTAATGTTGGACTTTTTCCATTTCTCAGTTTGCATAAAAAGTCTTTTTTTTTTCTTTTATTTCTATAAGGGGGATACGCCTCTTGTTCCTGCATTGAAATTGTCTAGCCAGACTACACAAGTGTAATTTATCTTTTCTCCTCCTGTTGAGCTGCCTTTTCTAGTTCAAAGCTTACTACCACTTCTCTCGTTGGCAAATCTCAAGCTGTACATCTTCTTTTGGCTTTCAACTCTCCATTGTAGTTGACACTCTGTTTTTCAGGTTTGAAATCTCATGCTGTCACATTATATGAAGCTGGCAAGTTGGGTCATACTAGCATTGCAGATCTTTGCAAAGATCTCAGCTCATTAGAGGGAGCCAAATTTGAGGGTGAATTACAGGAATTTGCAAATCATGCCTTTAGTCTCCGGTGTGTTCTAGAATGTCTGCTCTCAGGTGGGCTTGCTGCTGATGCAGAAGCAGATGAAGTTTGCAATAAGCTCAGCACAGGGGCTTCAAACAGTGATGAGTCCACTTTGATTGCTGATATAACTTCCACTGACAACAGATCAGGAACCTCTGGTCTTGATGAAGCTGAAGCAGGAGTGCGCGATTCGACAAATTCAGAAGTTCCCCCAGATGGCAGCGAGGTGATGTCATCTGCTTCTCTATCTGACGAGGGGCTAAATTCTGAGAAAAATGATGACAAGGTTACTACTCCAGCTGAAGGTTCTGATATTGGAAAAAGCTCAAGAAGGAAAAGGAGGTACCGTGTTGATATTCTGCGTTGTGAAAGTTTGGCTGCTTTAGCACCAGCAACGCTAGACAGGTTATTCCGTCGTGACTATGATATTGTTGTATCTATAGTTCCTCTCCCACATTCAGCAGTTCTTCCTGGACCAAAAGGTCCTCTCCATTTTGGCCCTCCTACTCATTCGTCATTGACACCATGGATGAAATTGGTGCTATATTCAACTGTAGGTTGTGGGCCCCTATCAGTTGTTCTAATGAAAGGACAATGCTTAAGGTTGCTTCCTGCTCCATTGGCTGGGTGTGAGAAGGCTCTAATATGGTCTTGGGATGGTTCAACAGTTGGTGGGTTGGGAGGAAAATTCGAAGGAAATTTGGTAAAGGGAAGTGTCCTCTTGCATTGCTTAAACTCTCTGCTGAAGTACTCTGCTGTTCTTGTGCAACCACTCAGCAAATCTGATCTTGATAAATCTGGAAGAGTCATTACAATGGATGTGCCTCTGCCCCTGAAAAATGCTGATGGTTCAATTGCTTGTGTGGGGAACGAATCGGGTCTCTGTGAACAAGAGAGGTCAAGATTGAACTCCCTATTGACTAGTGTGACAAAAAAATTGGAATTGCCAACGATCGGTTATATTCGCCTCTTAAAGCTTTTTAATGAAAGGGAAACAGACCTCTTTGCTCCTGATGACCAGAAATATGACTGGGTTCCTCTGAGTGTGGAGTTTGGGATGCCTCTTTTTAGTCCCAAACTATGCAACAACATATGCAAAAGGGTGGTTGCATCAGGGATACTGCAGTCTGATTCACTTACCGAACATCATGACACGATGCAAGGCTTAAGGAAAAGGTTGAGAGATGTGTGTGCAGAATACCATGCAACTGGTCCTGCTGCCAAGCTCCTTTACCAGAAAGAGCAACAAGCAAAGGATTCGTCTAGGCAGCTCTTGATGAACTATGCTAGTGGAAGGTGGAATCCCCTTGTTGATCCTTCTTCTCCTATATCAGGAGCCTCAAGTGATCTTCAGAGGCTTAAACTTGCTAATCGTCAGCGTTGCAAGACTGAAGTGCTGAGTTTTGATGGGAGCATTTTAAGGTTTGTCTTCCTTTTTATTGTTTGCTATTCATGTATGTTTATTACCCGGCTCCTTTATCCCAAGTTATAGCTTCCAGGTGCATGTCTGTAATGTAGAACTCCTGATAGTATGGTCTTTAGGTTACATTTGATTTTGACTAGCGGCAGGGACCTTCAGTTGATTAAATAACCAACTTTTCAATTAAATATATTCTTCAAACTTCCACTTCCACCGCTAAAACCTAGGTTTAAATTGATGCTTTCAACCTTTAGGTTGTCTTTACCTCTTCAATTCTACCATGAAACAAACAAGTTCTAAAGGAACAAGCAAAATTCAACTGAAAAAATAAAAAGCAAAATCTGTCCCAGACAATTATTGGAAAAAGAAGACGGTAATGGTGGCAACGCAACAAACAATTTGGATGATGGCCATCATGGTCCCAAACGTCATCCACTATGGTGGAGTTGATCTAATGATGATTTTAAACTCATCCTTTATATAAGACTGGTAGTTTTATAGCTTTGGTTGGCATTACACAAGTAATTTAAAAATCTTTTTTCTATTACACTCGCAGATCATATGCACTGACTCCTGTGTACGAGGCCTCTGCTAAAGCGATTGAAGAAGCCTCTCTCGTCAATACGATTAAAATTGATCCAAATGAAGCAGATAGTAGAGAAGTAGCTCTCCCTGGTGTCAATCTTATTTTTGATGGCTGTGAATTGCACCCTTTCGAGATAGGTGCTTGCCTGCAGGCTCGCCAACCGGTCGCCTTGATTGCGGAGGCTGCAATTGTCTCAGCTTCTGCAATCAAATAGTTTTCTTGTGTGCAACAAAGTTCTCTTGGTGGGGGCGGCAAAAAGACAGATTATCTTCCGGCTAACGTTCTTCTGATTATTTTTGGCTTGCTGCTATTAACTTGAGGTTACTTGTGCGGGTGCAGGTCTTGATCCATTTCCGAGGTAAGTCGTTCCATATCTCCAATCCTTGAACTTCTTATGACAAAGTAGAACTCCTTGATGTAAACTGGTAATTTGCTGATAGTGAATTAGGTGTGTCAGTAGCATGTTATTCTTGAATGTATATCAATAACGACCAAGAAAGCTTGTCAATTGTCATTTCTTTCTACTTAGCTGTTGTATATTTTGGAATCAGAGTTGAAAGTTCAAATTGCCTGGATCTTTAGTTCGAAAAACCCCTTCCATCTTCAAGAAGTGTTTGATTTTTTAATTAGTGGTGAATTCATTGACTTGATTTTAAATACTGCTTTGGTAGCGTTTCCTCTATTCCAACTGATTTTAAACAGTTGATTTCTTCTATATTATAATCTTAAAATGTATGGCATTTGTTATCTCTGCTAATGCAGGTCTTGTATGTATTAGGTATATGGTTTTGTTGACCTCTGGCACCTGTGAGACTGATAATGGCACTTATTGAAGAATGGTCTAATTTTCATCCAAAGCTTGGCAGACCACTGCTAAGTGACAAGCGAGGATATGGCATTTGAGTGAACAAAGGTACGAGAAAGAACGCTACCTGCCATAAAAAAGGTCATTTTGTGTTACTCCGTAAGGGGAGCTAATTGCTATCTTCTGAGGACGAATCGCTGCAAATTTTGCGATACAGAGTGTATAAATACGAGAGGAATGTAGGAGAAGCTGCATATAAGTTTTGAATTGTCGTTTTTGATTCGGGATAAGTACATGTTTGAGCTATACCAGAACATATGGGACAACCCAGTTCTCCAGGTACAGAATGCTTTGACAGTTAATGTGATACCAATTTCTCCCATATTTTGTTCCTAGTTTAGCGGGAGGGGTTTTGGTCAAGCGAAACCCAGTTTTCCCTCCTGCTGATGTTCTTTGCCTGGATGTTGCAATCAGGATGAAGCCAATTTGTACTTGGCTCTCCTCTAACTACTTCTAGCCTTTATACAAGCATTTGGCTCTCCTCTTAACTCCTGACAAAACTGACTATTTCCTACACAATATAAATGTATTTCTTCTTTAATTACCCTCTCAAGCTCCTGACAACTACGTGGGGAGGCTCCAAACACTCTTGCCCATCTTTCTTTCCAGATCCAGCTGACAATCCAGCACCAAATTTCTCCAAAGATTCGTCCTTGAACTGAAGTCTGGTTCGCCAGAAGACATGTTGCATCCAAGTAATCTTGCCAGGAAATCATCGTGACAAGCCAAGTCGAAACAGATGATCCATTGTCTCATTCTGCTGATTACATAACACACAGACAGAGAACTGTCAATTTCCCCCCACTCAAACAGCTTATCTCTAGTGTAAATACGATATAGAATAACAAGCCAAGTCAAAATTCGATGCTTTGGAATGCTATGCTTGCCCCATAGCAGCTTAAACCAAGGAACATGCCCTGATTTCTCACGAATTGAACTACACCTGCTTAACTGAGAGCTTTGACATCAACTTTCCTTAGGAAGGTAGGTTAGGTTGGGTGTATAATCAGATCTAAACACTGAGATCAAAAGACTTTTTTTTTTTTTTACTTTTTTCTCTCTTTTTTTATTAAATTGATTTTTATTATTTGTTTTTATTTTGAATTTTGAATTTTTTTACACAAAGTTCATTGTGATCCATAAAATTATATAATTTTTTTAATATATTTCAAGGAAAAATAATTCGTATCATCCATTACCATTCGTTGCCACATGGTGGTAGAGGTGGGCAACAGTCCGGTTCGTACCAAACTCATGAGAACTGTGGTTCAATAGTGAAAGAAATCTTAGAACCAAGGACCGGACCACCGATGCATTTGGTTTGATTTGGTTCGGTCCAAATATCGATTTAGTCCATCTTTCTTAAGTATTCATAAAATTTATGGGACTGAAGACCGTACCACATTATATTTGATTCGGTATTGTCCAGTGCAAGCATCGATTTGGCCCGGTGTGGTCCGTTACGAACGAAACCATTTCAAATTCCTACCTGGTGGCAATGAGTGGTAATGGATGCCTCATATAATCGGTTAGAGAAACCAAAAATTGACCTAGTGCTAACTTCAAATTGAGCATTCTTAGCATTACTCAAGGGCCCAAGACATTAAAGAAAACCAAATCAGTAATTTGTGCATTGCAGAAGCTACACTTGAAAGTTGAACCGTTAGATGGCCCGGCAATAACTTCACTATTAATATTTTCATGTGAAAGTAGAGGCAGACAAAACAATGGACGATGATGAGTAAACTGATCTCAAATGCTCAATACGACACGAGAACTGACTTTGAAGACCTGATGTTAAAGATTACCAATCTTCTTGACCCTCTATTTCTCATCAGACTATAAAACCACAACGCGGGAAATCACATATTTCGAAGATTTAAGGGGTGTGTGGCATGCAAGCATTCCCTAATAATTATAAGAAAATATCAAATAAATGTGACTTTCATTGATACTAAGTAATGCCACTAGGCTCTATAGGTGGTTCTGGACAATGCTTCCTATCATGCCTAAGTTGCCTACAAAATTTTGCAATGCTTCGGAACACTTCTTGCTCGTCCTGAACGATCCATCTCGTTGGGAATCTTGTTTGTCCTAGGATAACCCTTGGTGTGCTTAAAATGCAATGGTGGGATAAGCAACTTCTCATTAGGTAGTAGTCAATAAGCTTCATTTGGCAATGTCACAAAACTGCAAACTTACGAGTTGATGGTCGCCTGGTTGGTGAAGTAATGACTCACAAAGTTGTGAGGATTAAGGAATTGTGATTTAGCTGCAATGGGAACAAGGCACTCTTTTAGTCTGAAACTTCTTTAGCATGGAGGGTTATCGTTTGACGATTGCCTCCATGTCTGCCTCCACCCCATAAACATGTGTCTATTGCAAATAGACCTTCAACCTAGTTGAAAAGGGTCACTCTATGCTTATCAGCACGCTCTTCGTCTCCATCTGCAGCCTTGCTACTTGTGCTTACATCACAAAGCATTCTGCCTCCACCCCATAAACATGTGTCTATTGCAAATAGACCTTCAACCTAGTTGAAAAGGGTCACTCTATGCTTATCAGCACGCTCTTCGTCTTCGTACATTTTCATATCTTTCAATATACTAAGGGATATCGCTTCTCCGACCTGCTCCCTCAAAATGGCCTCTTGACGTCTTTTAACAAACCACACGTTGGCCTTTCAGTAGGTCATCTCCACAATGGTGTAAATATGCATTGCTCGAAGGCCTTTGTACACTCCATTTATACTTTCACCATTACTAGTAATGGCGATGCGCCGATGCCGAACCTAGTCCCATCATCCATGTGGAATATCTAGGGGTGAAAAAATAACCCCTGATCCATCCCATCGGCTGAACCCAACCCAAGAATGGTAGTTTTACAGATTTTCGGCTAGTTATGGATTACATAAAAAGGAAAAAAAAAATGTATTTCATGGGTGGGTGTCGGTGGAAGATATTCTAACGGCTTTATCACTTCGAAGATTGAAAAAGGAAAAGCAATAGAGGGGGAGAGAGACTTTATCACTTCGAAGAAAATAATTACTACAAAAATAAAAACATATATAGCAAACTAGTTCTCGATCTATTTTCTATTTCGCATGTTTCTATCCTCATCTTTCCTGTGGCCTCTCCCCTCACTATCACTGAACCAACGGCTAGAAGCTACTTCTCATCCCTTGCAAGGTTCCAATATCCAATCGATGAGCATTGATTCACAAATCCCTATCATCTCTCTCTAAATTTATTGTCTCTCCCTGCCTCCAATCCTAGCAAGTTCAGATATGATAAGAGTCATTTCCTGTGTTTGGTGGTTTGCACTGTGAGTTGGTGTTGCTTGGTATTGGTGATTCGTACTGTGAGTTGAAGGCTTTCTTTATGGGTTTTCTTGTTGTGGTGATACTGCTTCCTTTTGTTGGTTTTTGCTGTCTATTGGAAGGATTTTTAGGGATTTATTTTGGCCGAGTCTTGCTGCAAAATCGGTGTTATATGATGAAGCTTGTTTTGCGTATGGTGCCCTTCAAGCATCCTTTGTTGACCAAAAATATTGTTTTGCATATGAGTTGGGTTTTTACGGGTTGTCTGTCCACCCAATCCAACCCAATGGGTGTTAAACCGACAAGGTTTTGCTTTTTATGGGTGAGTTCAGGTTTAAAATCATTGAAATCAATATGAACGGGGTGGGTGAAAAAATCGGACAAACCTGATCCACTCGATCCATGTACAACCCTAGTAATATCTACATGTGTAGATCCTGCTGCTCCGCCCATGTTGTCCCCCGCCCGATGGATCTGATAGATAACCTTCATCTTCTCCTCGTATTTTTTGGGTTGGTGAGCAACCCTTCAATATATTTTTTTTTAATTATTTAGTACGAAAATTAATCAGTTGGTAAAAAAAATTAGGAATATAGTACAAAGAAATATACTTGCATGCCACATAATTCTTGATGAATTTCCTGCCAAATTTGTGTTGGCGATTGCTAAGAAAGTGGTGAATGATCCAACGCCACGCCCACCCCCATTCGTCAAGAACATCATACACGATGTGTCTAATCCCGTGGTGCCAGTCGCAGATGATGGTTATGCCCTGTCACTGTGCGACGTGGTCATGTAGCTGCTTTAAAAATCAGGCCCAACTTAAATTGTGCTCCCCTTCGACCAAAGTAAATGCCAATGAAAAATCTGCATCCCATCAACGCCCGTGGCAATAAGAAGAGTGTTCTTGTACTTTCTAGAAAGAAATGTATCATCTACTTGCATCACTACGAGGCAGAAAGATAACCCGAAAATTCATGGCTTGAATGACCAAAATAAGTGGTTAAACATCAACTCATTTTGGGCCCGAACTTGGTATTTAGTTTTTACATTGTTGTGTTACGACACGAAAATAGTCCCTGGGTTAGACTCCCCCATCGTGATCATCCGTCTAGGGAGGAGAGCGTAGCAGTTGTCCTAATCACCATACACGTCAACCATGGCTTTTTGCTTTCCATGCCATGCCTTCTTGTACTTGATTGTGTACGAGTGATGATCTTTCACCTCAGTCATGATAGTTTTGATTGTGATGTCTGGTTGTGCCTCGATCAAGTGTTTAATAGTGGCACTCACTTTCGTTGCATTCAGTTAGGGTATGGATGAGGAGTAGTTGTGGTTGTTCTACACCGTGTGAATTATCCAAACACCCTTTTTCTTCATCCATGCAGCTCGTAGCTCCAACTGACATCCTCCAACATTCTTGCATATGCCATGGAGTTATTTTTGGTCATAATATTTTACCTTCCACTCAAAATTCCACCCCATGACTTCTTCTCTAAGAGTATCACCAACAACATCCTTGGTGGGAAATGTCATACCCACCCCCAAATCGATCGTCGGATTCCTCACTACATAGAGAGAAAGTCGGGGTCTTCTTTATGAGCATGTAAGGGATGAATATGAATATTTGTGTAGTATAGAGTAAGTGATGGATGCACGATTATGATATATTATTACATTATTATCATTATTATTATTTGGGGAGATATGTGGAAATTTTAAGAGATTTTGGTTTATTGGGAATAATCATGGATATTGGATTATTTTGAAAGTTGTTAGGAGAATATGATTATAAGTATTGCGTATGATTATGATTTGGAAATTAAGCAATAAATAATTAAGTTAAGATCTTCCTATCCCACTTCTTCCTCTGTGTCGAACCCTCCCCCTCCTTCTCCTTGTTTCCAAGCTTTTGTTCCTCATCTCCCTTCTCCATCCCATTCTTCCCCCTGCCTCTATCAACCCACCACCAAACCTTCCTATAATCCCATCCATCAACTTACCTCTATACAATCATCTATGCACCATTCCTCCTAACCACCCCAATTTCATTCACCCATCACCATACACGATTCAATCCACCCCATTCACATAACACAAGTCATCGCCACCAATCGAGCACAACTCTTGATCCAGGCATCTATCGGTAAGTGGTTCCCGGATCCCCACCTCATCGTCCGTGTCTTCTTCCTCACTCACATATCTCAAATATTCTTCACT